GATGCCGCTGCGAGTGCCATCACCCACAAACTCCGCAACCAGGAAAGCGCAGTTTCTCTCCTTTCCACCACCCTCGGAGATGGCGGTGGGTGCGTTCCTTTCCCCCCTCACTGTCCCGCTCTTTCTCCTCCCCTCTCTCGCTCTCGCTCTCGCTCTCGCTCTCGCTCTCGCTCTCCCTGTTCACCCCCTCGCCTCGCCCCTTGGACACCCTTCTGCCAACTCGTTCTCTTGCCGTTTGCTCCTCCCCCCCTGCTAACCATCCTCCCACTCGTAGCCCCACTGTCCTGACTACCTTCACTCGCGATGTGTCGCGCTTGCTCACGTCCCTCCACTCGGCTCGGCCATCGGCCGGCTCGTCCGATGGTCCAGGCCACAAGAAGGCCTCGGGATCCGGGTCCTCCGGCACCCAGAGCACCCTTCCCGCGGGTGCCGCCTCCCTGGCCAGCGCCATCCAGGTTGCCCTGCTGGCCCTGCGCCATCGCCCCCTCAAGAACCAGAGCCAGCGCATCATCGCCTTTGTCGGGCGGCCGCTGGACCCGAAGCAGGACCCCGCCCTGGCCGGGCCGACAGGCACCCCGGAGGACGGCACCGAGAGCCCCCTTGTCGCTGCTTTCAAGTCCCTCGGCCTGCGACTGAAGAAGAACAATGTCGCCATCGACATTGTCAGTTTCGGAGAAACCGCCTGCAACAATGAGGCCCTCTCGATGCTGGTCAATTCCGCCAACAACACCTCCTTCCCCTGGTATGTGGTCTCTGCCCCGTCGGTGTCCCTCGCATGCCCCTTTCGCGTCTTGTGCCTTTTTCTCTCTCTCTCTCCTTCATCCATGCATCTCTTTTGACCATGTGTCCTCCTTGGCTCCTCCCTCACCTGGCTCCCCCTTCCCCCCTGCCGGTCCCGTGTCCTTAGCAACCTCCTTACCGTGGCTCCGGAGGAGAACCGCCTCCTGGCCGAGGCCCTTGTCCAGTCGCCCATCCTCATGTCCGGAGATTACGACAATGGCCCGATGTATGGCGCTGCCGATGATGATGTTTATGACTCGGAGCTGGCGCTGGTGCGTTTCCCCTCAAACCCTTCTTCATGCTCCTTCTGCCACACTCCGGAGCTGCCCTCCCGCCTCCTTGCCAACTCCCCTCCCCATCATCCGGACAAATATTGATGGTTTGCATTCCTCCTCTTGCCCCCTCCGCCCCTTTCCGGCCATCCAACACCCCTCCAGGCCCTCCGTCTGTCGCTCGAGGAGCACGTCGAGCGCGAGCGCCGTGCCATGGAAAACCCAGACGCGTCAGATGCCGGCACTGCGGATGCCCAGCCGCCCGCCAGCGCCTTCGATGCCATGGATGATGACTTCGATGATGCGATGTTTGATGAGAACGAGCTTGCCCAGGCGATTGCCCTTTCGCTGGCCGCTGCCGCCGAGTCTGCCCAGCCTGATGCTGCCCCGGAGGACGATGGCTCTTCCGATTCGTCTCAGTCTGGTGCCGGCCCCTCGGATTCGATGGATGTCGAGTGAGGCCCCGTCAAATGGCCCTCCCCTGGCATACATCTGTCACCGAGGACAGGAAGGGTCGGGCGGAAGGCGTGCACATCCCCGACAAGTGGGTTTCCATGGCGCACTTGGAGAAAATCCAACAGCGCCGAGCGCACCCACGCGCGTACGCGCACATACGACCCCCCCCCCCCCCCC